ATCTTGTGTATCCTGTGTACACCCGTAACCGAGCCTGATCACCTCAAAGCCTCTCTCTCCGCTCACGTGTTTCAAACAGAGTGTCTACGTTTGCAGGATACACAGGATTCGTTTTTCTTTCTCCTCTCCCTGCCTGCACATGGCAGGCAGCCCCATAAAGTACCAACTATGACATCATAGAAGTGTCATAGGGGACGGGGCCCAAAACCTGTTTGTGTTCGTTTCTGATTGGCACAAGCAAAGTTTACACCAAGTAGGGGAGCAGATGCCTCAAAGTCTGGCTTTGCCCCCAAAAGGTGAGGAAATGCATATTGTTTTAGAATGCGTGCAACACTGAATGACAAAAGAAGAGACCAGGGCAATACCGGTATGGGCAAGTTTTACAGGATGCAGACAGAAACTCATCTCAACACCTGAGACAATTGTTTTCCTTGTTTGGTGCTCTTTCTAATGAAAGTTGTATGAGTTAGATCAAACTGTAAATGATCCAGTATGATGTTAATTTGATAATTTACATAGGGGTCCTTGTCTAATACAGTAGTCTATGCTTTTTTTCCTCAGCATTTTACAGGGTCAATACAATTAGCTAATTAGCATAAAATATCCCAGAATGCTTCAGTATCTCTTCTTGTCTTTACATTGGTAATAAAATGAGGGAAAGTCAAAGTCTGTGTAAAGATCTTATTGCTTAATTATAACAGAGGTAGGTTTACATTGACCTGATGGAGGAAAGTTTTCAGGATATTTTGAGTTCTAGTGAAAACTCCCTTTAACCTGAAAGAGTGATCAGATATTAGTGGCATGTAAGATTGCTAAAGTTTTCTTTAGCTTTGCGCAGTGGCAGTATCATAGCCAATGAGGTTAATCTGAGGCGTGATTATTGCTAGTTGAAAACTTTTCCCAATACCCTGCCATGAACACTTGAAATATAGTTGGCATTGGCAATTTTTGACAGTCTCACATGAGACTGATATGGTTGTTGTAAAATCAGATTTTGATTGTGGGTGTTCATTCTTGATTAACCTATTCATATTATTTTAAGTGTATGAGTTTTGAGTGGACCTAGGTGTGGGTGATGCTACTGTTCATTGCTTTAACTGATAGGTTTTCTTCTCTTTTTTTTTTGTTTTGTTCCTATTGGAATAAATTATTGCCTGTTACTAGTGAGTGCTGCTGAAGAACTCCATGTAGGGAATGTTCTGTTTATTTAATCAGTAAATGTCTCTTGATAATTCAGGCTTTGGCCCCTCTCATAAGGAGCCCTGTAGTGAGTGGGATTAAGGTATAGCTTCCAAGTGCAGTACCCACTGGGCATTGTGGCAGGGGCAGTGAACTCTGGGTATGAATGTCTCCAGGCTGGGTGACCCTGAGTATTAACAGATATTTCTTCGAGTCCTCAGATCTTCTGCCGCGGGGATTAGTGTTTCAAAGCAATGGAGCAGAACTACAACTCCGTATTAATGTCTCCGAGCACTCGGTCGGCGCATGGGGCTCTTCACCCTTCAGACCCCCCTGCGCATACTCAGAGAAAGGCACCAGCCAAATCCCCCCAGCCTGGTATCTCAGGAATATACCATCCTGCACTGCTCAAGACCCTTTCTTGAGCAATGCAAGTTTATTAATTGCTTCTCCACTTTGTCAATGGAAAGTAGATCTACACCAGCCTTTGTAACGTAAGCAGATTTATCAAGCACTTCAGTCAAACTCACCGGTAAGGATAAACATTAAAATACATGTATTGATTACAAAAGATAGATGTTAACTGATTATAAGTGATAGGCAAAAATCAGAGTCGTTACCAAAGGAAAATAAAAGATAAGCACACAGTCTAAATTCTCAACCTTATTAGACTAGGCAATATCTGGACTAAGTTTTTCTCATCCCACTGGATATTGCAGATTGGGTACAGTCTTTCATATGCAGGCTCTCCCTGTTAGCCTGGGGACCAGTCTCCTCAGCTCCAACATTCACATTGCCTTCAGTATAGGTGGAAGAAGAGACAGGACAAACCAAGTGGCCTCTGTCCCCTATTTTATATCCTCAGTCCATGTGCTTGGAGAACACAAGTCCAGGCATGTCTGGTGGAGATTGCTGAGTCACCAGCAAGGTTGAGCAACTCCCCTGGGGTGGCCTTGTGCATGTGAGTCCTTGCATTGTAGCTCCCTTGCTGGGCAAGGCTGTTGATGGTTGTTCAACACCCACCGGGGCATTGGTTACCTCCCTTGTCCGTGTCTCTGGGGATCTAATATCTGAGCAATTCCCCAACTCATGACATATTTTAGTGAAAACCATACTACACAACCTCATAACTTCATATGCCCTAAAGCAGGGGTTCTCAACCTTCATTGCACCGCGACCCCCTTCTGACAACAAAAATTACTACACGACCTCAGGAGGGGGGAACCAACCAAAGTCAAAGCCTGAGCCCTGCTACCCTGGGCAGGGGAGCAAAGCCAAAGCCCAAAGGCTTCAGCCCCAACTGGGGGCCTGTAACCTGCGCCCTGCCACCCAGGGCTGAAGCCCTTAGGCTTTGACTTCGGCCCCAGGCTGTAGGGCTTGAGCTTTGGCTTTGGCCCCAGCAAAACCTAACACCAGCCTTGGCGACCCCATTAAAATGGGTTCACGACCCACTTTGGGGTCCCAACCCACAGTTTGAGAACCACTGCACTAATTATATATATATATTTAGATAGAACAATGGCTTTCAGCAGATCATAGCCTTTCCCACGATACCTTACATGGCATGCTTTATATTAAATACAATTATATATAAATGATGAATATGGGGTTTACAGGGACACTCCCCCCGAGGTGTAGAGTGTCAAACCAGGGTTGAGCAAAAGTGCCATGTGTTTTTTCCCCCTCCTCCCATGATAGGCAAGCTGCTCCTGGAGGCCTGAGGTACATGTAAGTTCTGCTCCCCTCTGGTGTACCGTGGCCTCTCTTCTCAGCCTCTCCACATGTGGTCACCGGCCTTACTGAGGCCACAAGGAGCTTTGGGCTCCTTTCCTCTTCTCCAAGCTGTCTGGAAGAGTCTAATGGGGTGTTTCTTGGCATTGGTCCTGTAAGAGAACAGGACAGTTGCTGTGGTGCTGATGATATGGGCAGGGGAGGAGAAATGGGTAAAATCTCCTCCTGAGGATGCCTGAGTCCTGGGAGAGGCTGCCACACATGTGGAACTTTTGGGAGACAGGAAGGGGACAAGAGGCTAGGGCTGCAAAGAGGGGGATTGGCTAATTAGCATAATAAGGCCCATGATGCCCTGCAACCAGACTGGGGAAAAAGGCTGACATGAGGCAGACTTGTGGGGTTTTTCTGCAGGATTAGGTCCTGCAGCAAGAGAGGCTCATGGTGGAATAGCTGCTGGCAGCTTCATCCAGAGTGAGCTAGGCAGGCAGTTAGTTCACCCCATGCTGTAAAACAGGTAGCTGTTGAGTAAACAAGGGTCACATGGTCTCTACCTTTAGCTTTGTGTAATTTATGTAAGTTTCGAGCTCTGGTCAAGTGTAGGTAGTCTCTTGGTCTATCCAAGGCTGTGATCAAGTGTCTTGATGTTTTTGGTCTTATGGCCTTGAGATGAAAACCTTGCCTTTGTTTCTGAGACCTTGAAGTGAAAAAATTCTCTAAGTTAGTCTGTGAGGGTCAACTGAGGTGTGATTATTGCTAATTGAAAACTTTTCCTAATGCCCTACCTTGATAGCTTGAAATATAGCTAGGGTGACCAGATAGCAAGTGTGAAAAATCAGGACGGGGGGGGGGAGTAATAGGTGCCTATATAAGAAAAAGACCCAAAAATCAGGACTGTCCCTATAAAATCGGGACATCTTGTCACCCTAAATATAGCTGCTGTTGGCAATTTTTGGCAGTCTCTGTAGAGGCTGACTTTTTGCCTGAGTGAAAAACAGATAAGGTGAGGAAGGTTCTCTGGGAGGCTAGGTTCTTTTTTCTTTTCTTTTCTCTGGGATTCCTGAATTTTTCACCAGGCTTCTATGTGGTATTTCTGATATATTAGAGCAGGAATAAATACTGATCTTGTCTTAAAGCTGTGGTGGTTTAATCTGTGTTCCTGAGGAGCTCTGCTATTTTCCTTTTCTGATGGTTTGGGGGGGCTTGTTCTCCAGAGCTGAGAAGTACAGACTCCCTGAATTCTTAATGTGAGTCCTGTGCTCACTTGCTTCAAAAAGCATGACTGGACCCTAAAGGTGAAAGGGCAACCATATAAAGTGCCCCTCAAGAAGGCAGACTAGATCGTTCAGCAGCTGGTGAAGAAGTGGCTGTTTCTTCCCCAGGAAGCCAGTAACGATCTAGTCTTCATTGCCTATAGGCATGGCAGCGCCAACATCCCCCACATGGGAGACCTATGCAATGTTGTGGTGATCACCCACGCCTTCTGCCTACTGATGTGTCCCGACGCCATGGTAAGGAACATCACAGCAAATACCCTGTGTGACGTGATAAAGAAGTGGATCGGCAGAGCCCCCTCCAACGAAGACATCGCCACCTTCCTGAGAGGCTCTCTGGATGGCGAATTCAGATGGGACGGGCGCGACATTGCTTCACTGTGGTCCTGTGCTCACAACGCCATGCAACACCTGGGGAAGTAAGTCGGCTGCCACTGGGTGTGGTGCGAGGAGCGCCAGGAGCTGGGAGTCCTGGTGCTGCAGATCAGGTCCCAAACAACACCATCATTACCCTGAGCACCAGGGCTGGAGAGGACCCTGAAGGCCGCTGTCCACTTGCTGTATGTGGAAACCCTGAAGCATAAACCGGACCAGGGTAAACCCTTCGAGTTGACCAGCAAGTGGGCGCCAGCAACCACTTCCTCGCCGGGGGCAGCTTCACCTGTTTCACTGACTGGCGGTTCATCCACCATGCCCGGCTCAACTGCATCCCGCTCAACGGAGCCATCCACCATGGAAACCGAGACAAGCGTTGCAGGAAGTGCGGCTACTCCAATGAGACCCCGTCCCATGTCCTGTGCAGCTGCAAGACCCACTCCAGAGCCTGGCAGCTGCACCACAACACCATCCAGAACCGCCTGGTGAAAGCCATTGCACCACGCCTGGGGGAGGTCACCGTGAACTGCACCATCCCTGGTACCGACAGCCAGCTGCGACCTGACATCAACCCCTGCAACGAGCATGTGCTGCGGACCTGCGGGATTGGTCGACGCTATGCACGGCTCATGCGGCGCCTCATGGTCTCAGACACCATCCAATGGTCCAGGGACATCTACACCGAACACATCACTGGAAGGCGTGAGCCGGAGCAATATCGTGCATCGACTACTAGAAAGGGACCGAGAGATTTTGTCCATTGGACCATATGAACTGGAACCATAAACTCACTGAATGTTAAATCTCACGAAATGAGGGTCAGTCCATCCTCATCATCGTATCCACTCATTATACTCCACACCTGAACATAGCCATTATATGAACAACATACCCTCATATCTCAATGTCTGTGCTTTGACCCATTAACCTTGTGACGGGTTGGATCACAGAAACCCCCTTGGGAGCTGCCACCAGATGTGCAAAGACTACCCCTGCTTCTGTTTTCCCTGCCAGCTCAGAACTCCAGCACCCTGTCTTGCTGAGCCAGACACTCCTGTTTGGCTCCAGACACAGATCCAGGGTCTGAATCACTTGTCCCAAAGCTGCAAGTTTACCCGAAAACAGCTCGCAGTATTGTCCTTGTCTTTAGTATCGAGATGCCCGTGTACTTAAGGAGCCAAACCTCAAATCAGCTCGA